GAAAGAAAGAAAGAAAGAAAGAAAGAAAGAAAGAAAGAAAGAAAGAAAGGAAGGAAGGAAGGAAGGAAGGAAGGAAGGAAGGAAGGTGCTGTTTACCCCAATTCTACTCTACTCTATGGTAGTGCTTATCTTATTGCTTTAAGCCAATCATTCTTGATTCACTGCCAAATAAATCCCACTTCCCTCCAACTTCGCTATTCTCAGATCTATCTGCTAGATTCCAACAAGCTATCAAGAAAGATCATAAGCTAACAAAAGACAAAACAACCTGAAAACACACTTGCTGGTCAGACCTGCTTACACAGACATCTGTCCTAAGATGGCTCACCTGCCAGGTAGGCTCTGTGTTGTTTTGCTCATGGCTGCCAAGTCTACAGGTCTGGACTGGCAGGCAGCTAATACACTGGCTGGCTGAAAGGGTGGAACCACACCCTGAAAAAGTCCTTTAGCCCTGTCTTTTCCAATTTATCTTCAAAGCCTGCATTTCAGTGTAACCCATGCACACAGGCTGATGAAGATGAAGACTATCTAAGGACATACTCTGAGTACCTGTGTAATGTACAGGTCAGAGGAACAATACACTTACTTTGTGACTCCATAGTCAATCCCGATTGTTGCCAGGTATTTAGACACAAATCTCTTCTCACAGTAGCGCTTTATAATACAGCTCTAGGAAGACAAAAATGCATGAAGTAAGACACAGGAGGGAGATGTGTGAAATAAGCGCATTTCTTCATTAGGGTTTCTTTAGTCACCTCAAAGAAAATGAAAGTGTTTTCAAATGCAAAAACTAGCTGAAATGGAAGTGGATGCCTGGAACTCTAGCACTTGAAAAAGAGAAACAGAAGCATCAAGAGATTGAGGCCAGCCTCACCCACATGAGACCATGTCTCAAAAATAAAACAACCCCACAAAAGACAAGAAGAAAACACAATTTCTAATGTACCTAGAACAAGTATAAAAAGTGAGGGTTTTATTTGTTTGTTGGAGAGGGTCTTACTCCTGGCCAGCCTGGAACTTGCTATGTAGACCAGGCTATCCTCAAACTCACAGAGATCGGCATGTCTCTGCCTCCTACTGCTGGGATGAAAGGCATGTGGTTTCAACCAGGCCACAAGTCAGTTATCTTAAAGAAAAAATTTCAATTCTTATCCTCATGCTAACTACGGATGTGTTTTCAGCTTTATTGCTGATCGCTGAACTCGTCTCTTCCGCAGACCTTTCCCAGCCTTACGCGTTCAACACCTCTAACATATCCACAGTTAGCCTTGACTCCCTCCCGGGACAGAGCCACACGTTGAAGCATCTCCTGGATGCTTCCTACTCAAATATCCTGCCATCATCTAATTGGGCATGTCCCCAAATAATCTAAGATGACACATGACAGTGGCTTGTCCATTATTTCCCCAACGACAAAGGATCAGAATATTAAAGTCATATTTGATTCAGGGCCTAAGTCTTCAAGGGTACATTATCATTCTCTTTAGTACCAATATCCAAAAGAAAAAAAACAACCTAAATGGAGGAATAAAATATATTGCATCCATGTAACGGAATATATTTCTATGATATAAAGAACATACTGACATATGACACAAGAAAGATGTACCTTATACAAACTATACCAAGTCAAAGAAGCCTGTAGTAAAAGATCATGTAGTATGTGATTCCATTATATGAAACAGCCAGAATAGACAAATCTATATAGGCAGGAAGTGGGTTAATGGTTAGGAGAAACAGGGAGAGCCTGTTAATTGCTGTTTTTTCTTGTTTTGTTTTAGGGACGATGAAAATGTTCTATAATTAGCAATGGTAATGGTTTCAAAAACCTGTGAATGACCTGAAAAAAATCAGTGAATTGTATGTTTTAAATAAGTGAACTCTACATGAATTATAACACATGAAGGGTTTTGTCTTCAATTCTCTATCTTTAATTATGTGTATATAGTACATCTGTGGATATATGCACATGTGAGTGCACGTGCCAGAAGAATACAGAAGAGGCTATCAATCCCCTGGGGCTGAGACACAGGCAGCTGTGAGCCACACGACCTGATGTAGGTGTTAGCAGCTGAGTGCCCGTCCTCTGCAGAGTAACAAGTGCTTTTAATTGCTGGGCTACCTCTTCAGCCCTCACTAAGACTTTTTTAATTCAAGAGTTTTTATGGTTTTTAATCTTTAGGGAAGAAAAAGGTTATGTCCAGTGCATTTCTTCCAATTTGATTATTTGTGTGTGTGTGGGGAGGGGGGGGATGCCCTGTGCCAGAGGATAACCTCTGAAAATTGGTTCTCTCCTCCTACCATAGATTCTGAGGACTGAACTCAGGTCACCAGGCCTACACAGTAAGGGCTTTTACACCAACTCACCCCTGACCCCAACGACTTATTCCTTTCTGTATGGGAAACTTGAGATTTCTCAATGACTTGTTTATATTCAACTCAACCTCTTGCACTGACAATCAATATACCCCAAAGTCCAGTTTTCAAAGTCTCCGGGGGATCTGAAATTGCCCAATATGCTCATTCATCATTGACCTCATGTCTTTTTCTACATACAATGTTAATTTTGACAGCATTTTTTTAAGTGAGTAAAAATGATTACATTTTTACTTAACTTATTAAGCACTGCCCAACATTTACCTACATAGAAAGCCAAAAATTAGGTAGAAAAAGGTATTTCAATTGAGCGCATGGGTGTCGTTCTTCAGTGGACATCCATCATCCTGAGACAAGGTCTCAAGTGGGACCGTGAGGCTTTCGGATTAGGCTAGGCTATTTGGTCAGTGAGCCCCCAGGGATCCGCCTGTCTCAGCTTGCCCAGCATTGGAATTAAAAGCCTGTGCCACTAGCCTCAGCTTTTTGCAGGGGTTCCGGGTTTACAACTGTTTTCCATTCTTGCACAACACCAGCTGAGCTACAGTCTCTACTCTCTTTGCATTTTAAGAGTTGGAACATAATCAATAAATGTTCATTTTCAGCGAATGTTTTGTTAACACGTACACGAAGGTACGTAAGTAGTACGGGAGCGTGCTAAATATTAAAACACTAATAAATGGTTGCTGAGCATCATCTAAGTGCAGGGCACTGGTTATCAAGTCTTCTACATTTGGAGAAGTAAAGGCACCGCTTCTAATCCCTTCCTGGTCACTCCAGTTCTGGACCCTGCGGATTCTTAACCAAAGCTTCCGATCATTAAGGGAAGAAAACAAGAACAGGCGTCTATATTCATTTGGGAAAGGCCTTAGCTCACCGCTGCTTTCCCTTCCCATCTGAGAGGAAGTTTAATAGTTAATACGCAGCAGATGGAACACACGGGAAGATGGTATTTTTTTTTTAAGAGGGGGGAGGGGCTTCCCTGAGAAAATGAACGTGACAGTAAAAGAAATTTAAAACAAAAAACAACGCAGGATTCAGGGCGCAAACGCACTGGGTTGTTATGCCCTGGTGACATCCAGGCTGTGCCCAGCAGCATTCTTGTGGATCCAACACCTCAGGGGCATCCCCTTAAAGAGCACAGGTAGGAAGCACCAACTCTCCTCGCCCGCAGTTTCCGGGAGCCCTCTCCCAGAAAGCAGATTTGGTTTCCAAGCTGACCGCCCGTCATTGGGACCTAGGCTTCCTTACTACCTACAAAATAAAATCAAAGGTGAGAGACCACCCCGGACAGCCTCTTAGGGGCAGTGACGTCAGCAAGGCGCCGGCAACCCAAAGGTCAAAGAGGTCAAGATAGTTTTCCTCCGGAGGCCGCCTGGCCCCTTGCGGAGGCGGGGCTTCGGGCTGTTGAGTGGCCGCTCTCTCAGCCAATAGGCATGTGGCTCTGGCACGCGGAGGTCCCGCCCCTCGCAGCGCGCGGTACTCACTTTGCCCACTTCGGCGTTGCCCATGGAGATGACTTTGATGCGGAGAGACTTGGCGGGCTCCTTCCGCTTCGGCACGTTGGCCTCCATGGCCCTCGCTCTGCCAGGGCCGCCGGTTCCGGTGTCCTTATGCACCTAGCCAGGCCGCGCCTCAGGCCTCCTCGCCCAGTGGCGGAGCCGCCGCGCTTGTCACCGCCCTGGCTCCGCGGCTCGCCATCCCCACCGCTGCCTGGCCGCGGACGGACGCGGGCGGTTGGGAAGTGGCGAGCCGCGGAGGGCGAGCGAGTCTCGCGATGACAGCGCGCCGTGACGTCATTGCAGGGCCCGGGAGCACTGAGTCTTGGGGTCCTGGTGAGCCCGCGTGGCCCCGGTCCCTGCAGGAGACGGGGCTCCTTTGCCGGGCCCCAGGGTTGCTGTCCGCTTAGCGGTAGAAGTAGAGTGGCCTTCACGGGGTGTTGCTGTGATTTAGTGTAAGGCCCAGTCGCGTCAAAAATTCTAAGCAGACCATGACTTTGCCTGGAACCTTCGCCGGTGGGGTGGGTGCCTCTGCTGCCCTGTCCTCCATCAACACCGTGGCCCCTCAGTGTCTGCAGGGGCCAGATGTTCCAGTCACAGAGATAGATGGTGTCCAGGCAAACGCTTCAATCCTGGCACTCGGGAGGCAGAGGCAAGCCAATCTCTAAGAGTTCGAGGCCAGACAGGGCTATATAGTACAATCCTGTTTCAAATAAATATATAAAAACCGAATAATCTTTAGGTAACATGCACATCCTCAGCTACTTTAAGTCACTCTACCTTATTGCACTTCTGTCTTAGGTTTCCTATTGCTGTGAAGAAACACCATAACCAAAGCAACGGGAGGAAAGGGTTTAATTTGGCTTACACTGTTCATCATCACATTAGGACAGGAACTCAAGCAGGGCACGAACCTGGAAGCAGGAGCTGATGCATAGGCCACGAAAGAGTGTTGCTTAGTGTCTTGCTCCTCATGGCTTGCTCAGTCTACTTTCTTGTAGAGCCCAGGACCACTAGCTCATGGGTAGCCCCACCCACTATGGGCTGAGCCCTCCCCTATCAACCACGAATTAAAATGCCTTACAGGCCTGCTTACAGTCTGATCTTTTGGAGGCTTTTATGGGGGGGGGGGGTCCCTCCTCAGATGACTCTAGCTTGTGTCAAGAAGACATAAAACTAGCCAGAATAACTACTCAACACAAGGTAAATGCTATAACAATGTGTCAGTACTATGTAAATAGTTATTCTATGTTGTTGTCCCTTAGGGAATAATCACAAAAAAGATATACATGCTTCATATATAATCTATACATGCTTCATATATAATCGTCATCTTTCCCCACCCTCCCTCCCATTCCTGATTTTTTTTTTTTTTCAGGAACTGGTATTTATTATCAAAGTCATATTCGTTGTCAACAAGATGCCTCAACTATAAAAAAAAAAAATTAATTGCACACATTGCAATCTCAATGCAAACAGTCAAATGGAACCCCAATCATTAAAAAATTAATTGAAATTACCCCCAAAAGCAACTGAATTTTTAAACATCTTTATACATCCAGCCAATAAATTAAAATGGTTGACAAGAAAAAATACAAATCCAGAGGTCTGGTATTGATGTTTGAAAAAGGCAACTGCTTAAGCATTTCTCTCGATTCGAACATCAATCGCTCAGCCACTCACCTTCAAGAATCATTTATTTTTTATGTATACAGTGCTCTATCTGCCTGCACACCTGCGCACCAGAAGAGGGCACCAGATCTCATTATAGATGGTTATGAACCACCATATGGTTGCTGGGAATTGAACTCAGGACCTTTGGAAGAACAGCCAGTGCTCTTAACCTCTGAGCCATCTCTCCAGCCCTCCTGATTAGTTTTAATGGACTGTTGCTTCAGTCTGCAGACAGCCTGCAGGGCAGAGGGCCACCTGCAAGATTTCTTTTGCTCATCTAAGATGATAGCATCAGGAGGTGAGGAAGGGGAGTTAAACACTGGTTCTGGAAAAGGACCTTGGGCAAGACTCTTTCCGTGTGGAAAAACAGAGCTGCCTTTTGGAACCAAGGCGGCGGTTTTAGTTTTTGCCTCTCTAGCATAGCCCCATCCTCAGGAGGAAAGCCCAGGCTGGGTGTTTCTTAGGTTTCGCTCAGCTCTGTGAAGGTGCAGGATTCTCACTGTAATCTCTTTGGGTTCCTTCTGATGGTTGTTGACATCCCATCTTCACTCAGCATCCTGCTCTCTCTTTCTCCTTAGCTGACAAGATAAGGTAGAATCATAAATTCTATTATAACTTGTTATTCTCAGAGATGCAGAAAGCAACTGTTTGAATGAAAGTCAGTCTGACAGACCAGTTTTTTTTTTTAAGTCAATAATTTCAGTTACAGATGTAAACAGAACTTGACAAATGATTATCTAGTGCCCTGGGGAAAGATGGCTGCCAGTTCCTCAGTAATCACACAGGTGAAGGTGGCATTGTTTCTGCTCCCACAGGGCTTTAAACATCTTAAAACATGTCTGGGAAGATAGAAAGAAGGCTGGAGTCATCAGTAGCTCTTTAAAGTCAGTTTTCAAGCATGTTTAGAATATTAAATACTTTTTTAAAAAGGTACAGTGTACTCTGATAATTGATATATAATATGTGGCCAAAAAAAGCTGGAGGGCTAGGCTCCAGGACCCTTGCGGAAATCTAAATCTATGACTCTCAAGTGCCTGATGTAAATGGTACAGCACATGCAGATAGTCTAGGCATGTCCCCTCATACACTTCAAATTGCCTCTAGATTACTGATAATGACTAATGCCATGTTAATACCATGTAAACAGTTGTTACATCATATCGACAAGGAAAAAAAAGTTTGTGTACAGTACAAATCGCTTTTTTTCTCCTTAAATATTTTCAATCTGTAAATTATTTGATGAATGGATATGGAATCCACAGATACAGAAGCTGTTGTGCCTGCAGATCTCAGCAAAAAATGGCTGTCCGATTAAATTTACTTATTTGTTTGTTTTTATATAGTAAAAAAAGAGTCCTTTTTTTTTTTTTTTTTTTCTTTTTTGAGACAGAGTCTCATGTAACCCAGGCCAGCCTCAAACTCATGCAGCTAAAGATGACCAGGAACTTCTGATCTTCCTGCCTCTTCTCCTGAGTCCTAGGACTGCAGCTGTGGCCACCAAACCTGGTTTTATGTGGTGCCGGGGATCTGAACCTAGGACTTTTGTGTGCTATACAAGCCCTATACAAGCTACGTTCTCAGCCCTTTAAATATGTATTTTTAAAGAGTAAACTTTAAATACTTGGAGCATACTTAAAGGAATAAGAAATAATGAGTTCTTCATGGTGGCACAGGCCTCAAATCAGGCAGATGTCTACGGATTTGAGGCTGGCCTGGTCTCTGTCAAGTTCCTACCAGTCAAGGATATACAATGAAACCTTGTCTCAAAAAAAAGAATGACTGGTACCCAATGTGGTGTAACAGGCCTTTAATCCTAGCACTTAGAAGGCAGAGGTAAGTGGATCTCTGTGAGTTCAAGGCTAGTTTGGTCTACATAGTGAGTTCCGGGCTAGCCAGAGATGCATGGTAAGTCACTGTTTCTAAAAAAAAGAAATTCAGGCAAGAAGGGAAAAAAAAAATCGAATATTTAAAGTATTTGCTACCCAGATAAAGAATGAAAACATCACTGACACTGCTTGTGTCTTCCAAGTTCCCACCTCCTTTTCTTTACAAAAGCTTGTAGCTATCTGCATTAGTGCTTTTATTTTCCAGACACTTAAAAATGTTTAAATATACACTTTATGTAGCTTAAGATTTCGTGTTACATTTCACCTTTTTAAATTATTTTGAAATAATTTAACGTAGAAAAGTTTTAGGAACATGTCCCTCTCACGCACACGCACACACACACACACACACACACACACACACACACACACACTTGACAGATCTTTCTAGAGCTGTCAGTTGTTAAACATCTCAACCCATTTGCTGTATAGGTTGTGTTCACTATTTGTACATATATGTGCACACATTCTCTCAGTCATTTGAAATTTGGAAACTTCTTAAATCCATAAATACTTCAATATGTGTTTATAAAAACAGGAACTTTATCTTACATAGCAATAACATATGTATCAAAAATCAAGCAATACAGAGCCAGCCAGATGCCAAAGTGGGTTAATGTGCCTGCTGCTAAACCTGGCAACCTAAGTTTTATCCCTAGGACCCATATGGTCAAAGGAGAGGAAGTTGCCCTCTGGCCTCCACACAGATGCCATGGCTTAAGCACTCACACACAGGACACACACGAGCACATAAAATAAAATGTAAAAGGATTTTTAAAAAATCAGATGACACAACACTTAAACAGCACTGTTATGCGGCTCGTGATCCTCAAACTATGCTGAGATCCCCACAGTGCCACAGTGAATCTGTAGGGTTCTAAAATTTCAAGGCAAACAAAATGAATCATGACTGTGAAAATACTGCTTTGGTGCTGTTTGCAATTACAACAGCAGATGGTGCCACACCCCTTGTTTTGTCATATTGGAGTCCAGTTTTCAGGTAGTTGTGATTTTTTTTTTTTTTAAGGACCAGGAACTCAGTCCCACAGAGGTTACTTGAGAGGTGCACTACTCAGCAAGTGTTTGTGTCAGTTTAGCCGTGTTAGTTTTTGAATGGCTACTAAATCATTAGGGAATAGATGCTTAATGAGTTGTTTGCACCTAGGTATTTCCTTGGGACTGGACACAGTGTGTGTGTGTGAGAGAGAGAGAGAGAAAAAGAGAGAAAGAGAGAGAGAGAGAGAGAGGGAGGGAGGGAGGGAGGGAGGGAGGGAGAGAATTAAAGCCATGAACAACAACAAAAAAAAGACAAAACAAACAAACTAGGAAAGCTTGACTTAATACATAGTTCATACATGTGTGTGTGTGTGTTCTCGTGCATGCACAGAGCGAAGTGCAGTGGAGTGGGGCCGGCTGGGGCCAGAATTTGAGGCCAGGTGTCTTTCTCTACAAACCTCCATTTTACCATTTGAGACAGAATCTTTCACTGAACTGGCTCACTGAACCAGCTAGACTTGCTGGCCGGAGAGATCTGAGGACTCCCCACCAGGCGTCTAGACAAGAGCCTTATCACCAAGCTGAAGGAAATTTCTGGCTTCCTTGAAGACTTGGTTTTGTTGTGTGATGTTTTGCTGGAGGCTGGCTTGTGAGAAGGCACATGATGTTTTGCTGTAAG